CGCAGACACATTCTGACAGCACTTCAGACAGCAGCTTTGTGCCCCGCCAGCTTCTTGTTCCATGCCTACCATGGTGTTTTTGTACAGACAGCACTTCAGACAGCAAGTATGCTGTAGTCGGCAATCATTCGTTTTGGTACAGAGTGGGACAAGTAGGGGGTGATGTTGCTGTAGTCGAACGGTGAGACGGACGTGTAGTTCAGTTTTGGGCACGCGTACGGTGCTGCAGGGATTATATATAGGAGGTGTAGTAGTACCTCTTCGGGCTCTTGCACACCTTTTTCTTGCTACGTGTGCGTGTTCTTTAGATCCTCAGATGGATCCAGCACTTTCGTGACCACGGGCCGAGAGTCTTTGCTAGATTTTGGCATTTAGCAACTGGCATACGGTTTAATGTGAAGTCAACAACAACAACAACTGCCGTACTGTGGCCCCGTGAGTTGCTCATGTGCGAGAGCTCGCTTTCATCAGATCGCTTTTATCATCGAAATCGACAGACGGTATCCACCAAATCACCCAAGAACGCGTACAAACCTCACGAGACCCAACAAAGGGTAGGTAGGATACCGGGAATCAATACGTATACCTCGGGGGGCTGGCAGACGAAATCGTACATCCCCCGTAGGCCACTACGTTCTTGTTTGTAGCTCCAAACCAAACCTCTTATCGACCAGCCATGTACCGCCATCCGTCACCGGCGAACACACGAACGTCTGTTATGCTGTCATTCTTTTACTGCTATGACGGTAGACACGAAAGTGTTGGTGTGTGTCCTTTTGAGCTGTTCAGGACAACACATTTCGATCGGGGTCTTGGCATGGGAGGGGTTTTTAAAAAGAAGCAAACACCTGCTGCGTTGTGTCGACTTAATTCTCACGGATCGGAGCTATCGCACGGGGTGTGCATTACATGTTCAGGACCAGGAGTCAATTCATTTTCCGCACAGGTACCGGCACGTATCGACGTCTTGGCACCCCTGTTGGAAAACATCTTAGAACGAACGTGTTGAAAAGACGACCGCACAGGGTGCCAAGACCCGCATACATATGGTGGCCATCAGCTGTGTGATGGAGTTTCTCCGCATCGTCTGTGGCTTGGTCCAACGCCAAACAAGAGTACTACAGCCGTCCGAAGGAAAATAGGTGCGCTAACCAGCCTGGTATTTTCACCATGCTCTGTGCTCGCCCCCCATTCGCCTGGGACAAGATCGACGTCCTGATCTTTTATTCCCCGGAGGCCGCCTCCGCAGAGGGCATCTCTGACGCACAGCTGTTAACCAGGATTGTCGAAGGCATGGTGACCTTGAACCAGGCCATCACAAACTCAGCAATCGCGGATTTAGAGTATCGTCTCGTCCACGTGGCCGAGGTGAGGGATGTGCCGTACAGGGGGCTCATACATGGAGCCCGTGGCGAACCGTTTATTGTTGTGTTCGATTCTCCATTGATGTGGCAGGTGGCGATCGATGACAGGTCATGCGAATGATATCACGAGAACATTTTGGCTCGTGCGCTCGGATTGTTGAGTTGAGGCACTTATCGTACCGGGACAATAATTGAGCGGTCCGACCACAGGTGAGGGGCCTAAAGCCGTCGGGTACGACACGCGGGGGCACCCTTGCGCATCAAAAATACATGAGGCTCCCCGGTCAATTTTGGAGTGACCGCTCAAGAAAGGTATTGGATTGCGGCCTCGTACACTTTTTTAGCTTTCCGGAACCTCGGCACCTTACAAAGTTTTGCGGTGGGGTTCTTTCGCTATCACCAAGGCGCGGTTTGTGATTGCGAAGACAACTGTGTGTGCTTACGTGTGAACGCCGATGGCGCTCCCGGCCTTGGCTGAGGGCAGCTACCGTACAGCCAGATGACGTACGACCCCAGCGACGACATCGACCTCGAGCCGGAGCTTGATGCGTTGGCTGCGGACAGCGACGTGACTGATCTACGCGACCAATACCAAGGGGACCTGGTGCAGCTCGTTGGGTACTTCCCGGGAACGTGCGGACGAGGGTAAGCATTTTGTGACGCCGGATGCGATGATCCAGTTCGTGGGCGTTGAATTGCATGCGGTGATATTCGACTGGGTCACAATGGGGTTGTAATTTAGGTACTGTGGGGTGTGTGATTGCGGACATTTTAGTTTACTGTAATTGAGCCGGCCTTCCCTATGTTGACCCAACTTCTTGCAGCTTCGCGTGTAAGGTAACCACCATCGCGAGGTCTCGCGAGCATTTGATTTACGAAGCACGGCAAGTGCACCCAGACCCCTATACCTGATGCACTTAACCGTTAGCACGATGGCGGTGTGCTCGTTTCACGCGACATTGCAAGGTCTGGCTATGGCCGGGCTCAACACCTCCCGCGCGCCCAACTGACCTGTCTGTGCTGTTATTGTAGGTATATTTTCAACGGTGACGCCGCGTTCGGCTTCTCCCTCGTGGACTCAAACTGCTTCGACAATTTCTCGCACACCCACGAGATAGCTCACAACATGGGGTGCTACCACGACAGAGAAAACTCCCTCACGCAGGATGACTACCGCCACGGGTACCGGTACTGCGAGGGCGCCGATCCGTGAGTAGGTGTCGCACCATGTTGGCGGGGCCCACAGGAAAACCCCTTTCGACGGGGCGTGCAAAGAACAGATAAATCACTTCTTAGACAAGATCGTAGAGTTGTCATCCCCGAACCCGCTTTATGCTTGCTAGAATCGAGAACTGGACAACCCCTGAACTTCTGGCGACGCCCAGATGCACAAGATCACGATAGAATCAACTTAAACAATGGGGAAAAATTCCTGGGAACCATCGTCTCGCACGGTGTTTTGTTCTCAAGATCACGATAGAATCAACTTATACAATGGGGAAAAACTCCTGGGAACCATCGTGTCGCACGGTGTTTTGTTGTCGGCAGTGTAGCAAGTTTCGATACGCCCTCCATGATTGTTGGAGGATTCTTTGTGGTCCTTGTCTCCACGAAACAACACATTGAAACCTGAGGTGGGGGGGGAACTCCCTGCACCCGCGAGCGCCCGCCGCTTCTCGATCCACGGCCCTCATTCCGTAGAATGCCCTTCGCAGCACGACGCTAAAGCGTTCACTGAGCGTAGACGATAATCGCTTTTGCGCACCACAGGGGGAATATCTCAAATATTCGATTGTGAATCTCGGGTGGAGCCAGCCTTGTCCTTCCATACGTATTTATATATCTATTTTTTACTTGTTTTCCAGCGTCCTCGAACGTGTGGTACGGGTCGACGCTTGCAGGTATTCCACACTAGTCATAAGAAGCAAACGGGCGACATTGATGGATTGGGGGGAAATCCAATGGCCTGGCCTGGAGAACATCCATTGCATCATCGGTAGACCCTTGTATTATACGTGCCCTGAGCACCTTCATTTCCTACGCGATCGTTCGTCATGAACGAACCACCCCGGGTGTGGTGCCCACAGCTACCGCACCATCATGTCGTACTACCTAAACGGTTGCGGTGGAGACCCGACGCCCCAGGAAGACCCCATCGTGCCACGGGTAAACTACTTCTCCAATCCGGAAGTGACCTACCTCAACAAGCCCACGGGCACCGCAGCCGCAGACAACGCTCGGTGCATCGAGGAGAGCATGGTGAGAATGGGACAAGCGACTCACTGGTACTACCGCCATTTCGTCAGCTACTCCAGCAGAATCGTGCTGGATGTACGCGATGTTTTCTTTCGAGGTGCTATAAAGAAGTGGGACGATTGGAGGCCATGAAAAAATCTCGCTCTCGGTGGTAGAAGTAGAAAGAGAAGGGAGGGATCATGTTGCCACGAGAAGCGCTTCTGTGCAGGCGGGAGTAATTTTCCACGCATTTTCAAGCGACCGTGACCGAAGTACTGAGGTTGATGTACGTTGACGGGATTCCACAATAAGACGTGTGTACGCTGTACTTTCGAGGGACCCCGTTCCACCGACAATTAAATAACAGAAAGGAGTCCTCCGGGAAAACTCTCATTCGACCTCCGTTGATGCGTATAGTGGGAAAAAAAAATCAACACAAGTGCTTACCGTTTGATGATGAGAGTCCCAAGTTCAAATCTAGCTTTGAGATCGCCGTGTGCGAAATCTGCATGTACCTGCACTACTCTTCGCCTGGCACATTGTGTTTAATGTCTGAAAAAACAATGCAAACAGCACCGGTTATCGTTTGGAGGCAAAACAATCTGTTGCCTATTGGGGCCGACCCCACATGAAGCTAGCGCTGGAATAGGCGAGTTGATGCCGAGGCGAAGGCTACTCGTGACCTGTAGCGCCGCCGAAACCGGAGTTCGAGATCAATCACCGCTTGCCGTCAATGACGTGATCGGAACTCCCCTCTGATTGACGGTGTTCGACCTCAACGGATGATGGGTCGTGTGCGGCAACATTTTTTGCTTTCCCAGGTGGCTGTGTCCAAGTTCAGAAATGATGGCGACTTCGTCTGCTCCGATGATGGGGATGCGTGTGCCGTAGATCCTGACTGCTGCGTTGGCTTTTGCGGTTCTGCCGGGATTTGCGGTGAGCTGAGAAAATTGCTGCCCACCCAGGGAAAATGTCTACGTTCTCACGGGCCACAAAGGTAGGCGTTTCGGGAAGAGGTAGGATGGTTCTTTGCCAAATTGCCCCAACACTGCCGTCGCAGTTCGAAAGCTCGTCTTCAGGCGCAGCTTTCCACCAGCGTGACGTAACGAATTTACACGAAACTTTCCACCTCGAAGCACTCATGCTTGCGTCGTACATCTTCCGTGATATTCAACGTACTGATTGAAATTTGTCTATGGTGCGGCTGGCCTCCCCCGCCGCGGTGTTCCATTATTGAAAGGTGCTGGACGACACGCGTATGTGGAAGAACAAGGATCCGAATCAGATCTCGCTCGTTTCGTCCTTGAGCAACCAATAGAGCTAATTGCCATCTTAGCACGGGAAACGAGATTCCTCGATTGTTTTCAAACGTTTGCTGAAACTATGCAATGGTTCCTGCTCCTCTCTGTTTTAGCTTGGTGTCGTGGTCTCAGCAAGTATTGCCTCAGGGTCACTATTGATGTCGGTCAAAATTTTCGTCTGTAGACCATATTGGGCAATCAATTCGTCTCGGACCCGTGAGTGAGTGATGAAACAAGACAAACTCACCTACGCAACGAATGGCACGGTTTCACGCTTGAAGTTCATGTCATGCGTTAATTTTCATCGGGTAGCTCACAATGGAGAATGATGAAGGAATCACGTGGGAGAGTGCGGTCAATCCAATTTGTTGGAAGTTGTCTCACCTAGGATGAACGTCTCTGTCCAGTAAACGCTAAGTTTCTGTGGTTAATGGAATGCAGCACCGTCTCATGTTTCCGTCTACCGTCCGGCATGGCCCTGACCTGTGAAACGAAATGTGGTCAGACCATCCGAGCACCAAACTGAACCCACTGTATCTAGGGAGCCGTAGAAAGCTCAGTTGGTGTCCGGAAGCACATTGAGATCGCCCGACGCGATCGCTGCCAGGCGATAACTGCGGGACCCCGAGATACGGAAAAAGCATGCCAGAGAAAAGGATGAACCACCACGTCACACCAGAATTTCGTGTTTTTTCATGAGGAGACACAGCATCTGTTCGTTCGTGCCGCGAACGCCGGCGAGGTCGGAGAAACAGTTTGTGTGTGGTTATCTGCGCTCCCGCGATCGCCATGGTCTAGTTGGTCTAGTAGATTATGTTGTGCGGGGTCGAAACCCCTCACTCCGTGAAAACGGGATGATCGCACCACGTTGTGCTGAATTGGTCAAAGGTCAAACACCCTCGAGGTAGGTAGACAGTGCTGATACTTGTCTATGGAATGCACCAGAAAACTGATTAAGTCATTCGCAGCTGTCATCCGTAAGGCAGGAAGTACGCACAAAATGCCGAACACCCTAAGCAGAATGCAGCGCACCCTCGATGCGATTCGCACAACACCTGTGCACAGAGTTTCGCGCTTGGTGATGTGAGAGCCTGGTCTGGTGAGAACCCCGCGTGCGCCGTCCCAGCTCTGTAGGGATGCGAGGTCAATCTTCTGACGACTACGTCATGTACGACTATGAGTACACCCCCCCCCTCCCCCCCACTATCGCGAAACAGGAATTAGCTCGCTAGAATTAGAACGTACCAGGATGTCCAGATCCGATAAGAAATGTTTCGTCCAACGTTCAATCCGCTGGCTCCAACACTGGGGAAACTACCGGTGAAACATCCATTTTCGAGCTCGTTCTCAGGCTAAGACATTCTCACTTGCCTTCCTATCCTTGGGCGGTCGTCGCATCGAGCAGCCACCGAAGAATGCGCAGGATTGGGTGGAGACACGGCCACCATCGAAGATGGTGTCTGCGACCCCGGTGAGACAAAGCTGTCGATCAAATATTTGGTGGACAGCCACCGCGTCGCATAGGCCCGATCCCAGATGTATGGTGGCTTTTCCTCCCGGTATCGGGTTTCGAGCTTCAAGTTCTCACTATCCTGCAAAAGATATCCTGCACGCCGAAATCACCACGGTTTTGGTGTGTTCTCGTGTTTCGCTTTTTCGTGTAGTCCGTTTTCGTCCGAAATTGGATGTAGCCTGAGTTATGCAGCTGGCCTCGGCGTTGTTTCGAGGCATTCGTGGTGTTGTTGGTGTTCGATTCTACATCCTGGTGGGCTAAGGGTACAACAAGACACTTTGACCCCGCACCGATGTGATCTTTTTCCCGCCCTACACATGGTCGGCGAGGAGCGTTTCGAAATTCATTTTTTCGCGCCGAGAGAGCGGACGAGAACCGTCGATGTCCTCCTCCGCTGACAACCGGTATACCATATGGCCGCAGCCCTCAACACCTGGGCACTTAACAGGATACATCGCACGAAATTGTGCACCCACCGTATATTATTCCGACAGAAGTGCTCGTGGACGTGTCTGAAGCTGCGCGGACCACCACTATCCCTTGCCTCGTGCTAACTCAGCGTTTTGCCCTCCTCTTGCCGTGTGCTTGTCTGCAGAGAACAACGTCGAGGGATGCCAATACGACGGGGGCGAGTGAGTGAATCGCTACGGCAGTGCCTGAGAGCAACAAAAGGGTTTGCGCAGCGGTTTCGCGTATCGTTGCTCGGTGGTGGGTGTTGTATGGTCGAGAGAAGGAGGCTGTCCGTCAGACGTGCGCATTAGCAAGGATAGTGTTTGGTCGCGAAATGTATGTATTTGGTTGGTGGCTGTACCTTACGAAATAGGTAGTGACCACTCGGGTACGAGTCGCGAGAGGCAAAATTATTTCTGCCATCGCGCGACGGTGTTCAACGCCGCCGGTCGCAACGGGTCAAGGAATGAAATGTGGGGCAAACACCGCCGTTTCGCGAGGATCCGGCAGTAGCAAAACACCTACGTGAACATTCCCACACAGGAAGTACGTTGCCCCGCATGCATGGTTAATCGTCAATCCACAGCAACAAGCGGTATCGAGTGCACCCCACGCCCGCACCGTCCGCCCGGCGTGTTTTCCTGTCTCGCTTGCACTGCCAGCTGCTGCGAATGTGACTGCTCGAACCAGGTGTGCGATGAAGACAACGCCTGCGTTACCCCGGCGTGGGACTGCGTAGGTGAGCCACATTTGCACGAATCGTTTCTGGCGATCTTGCGTACACGTATTGTGCTCGATGGGTGTCGCTTTTAGCCGGGAGGTGTTCCTCAAACTTCGTGCCCATCTCACCCAAGCTGAGACTTACTGCGGCATACCTCGCGACGGTAAGGGGGCTGATATTCGTATCCTCTGTGGTTTGATCAGTACAGCTCTGCCAGCTGCGTGCAGGCGACACTGCTGTACGTACGCCGATGTGCTCCGTCTACACCACCGCTTCAAAAGACGCTTTCCTAGTGTATGGATGGGTGATGTGAATTTGGTGCGGGACCTATGCTCTTTCCCGCCGCTGGTATGAACCGCTACCGCCATCACCTCACGGCGGTGCTCGCCGCGTGTATGATATGATACGCGAATTCGCCGGAGTGTCAATTGGGCCCTTGAACCGCACTACTGTAGTCGCCCTTGTGAGGATAACATGGTTGGATTCGTGGGTTTCAGGCCACTGGAAGGGTGTTGGAGCTTTCGATATCCTAGTAAGCAGCAACCGTAGTCGACGTGATTCTTCGTTCATACATGCCATGTTGAAGCTACCCTAGACACTCAATCTCTTGTCGTGACGTAGGCTAGAGTAGGTGACGGATAAAAGAATCGGGTTGTCGCATCAATACTGGTGTGCCGTCTCTTGAATAAGCTTGGCTCGGCCAATCACCAACGTCGACAAATTCAGACCAGACCTCTGCCCCAAATATACCTGAAGCGTCACGTGTGGTGGTGGCATGAGAGGGTCATTCGCAGAAAGAGTTGTTTTTGGCAATAGCCTTTCGCAAACGGAGGGCATGGCTCCGAATGGAAAACAGGCCAGGGGCGGGGGGACACGGGCCACCCTAGTCTCCATAAGTGGCAGCCTGCGGCCTACGAAGTTGAGTGTACAAGAGAATTCGACACCATGTGTAGCAGGAGAGCCGATGCGCTGTTCTGTAGCCCAAGTTCTGGTAGCACCTTTGATTGGAGAAACACATGCCAGAGGGCCCTGAGGAAGAGTCCCCCCTTGATGCATAGGCCTGGCACACCTCTCATGCCCAGGGTAACGGACGCCTTTGATGATTGAATGGGGCGCTGAACACAGAGCGAGAGGGAGGGCGCATGGGGAGAACGCGTGATCCTTTTGTGTAGACCATGTGCATGTTGCTTCAAAACGGGTGGAGAAGGCAAATGGCAGCCTTTCAAACAACAAACCACTTTTTGAATGCTCTTCTCCTTCATTCCCACCACGTCGTTCCGTTGTGCAGTGGACGAAACATCATCCCTCGTAGGAATTGGCGTTGAGGGGGCAACCGACGTTTGCCCGCCTCTTTTTACCGGTAAGTTCCACATGCTGATAGAGCCCTGAACGCGTCCCAATGTGGTGCGACTGACATTGGTTGTCTGAAGTTACCACGGCAACCTGTAGTTCAGTATATTCTCGGTCCGGTGGGACGCGTGGCAGCATAGGCCTTCCATTGATGTAATTCGGTGAACATGAAGCCGAGCGCACTGTTGCTGCTGCTACTGGAAGATGTTTAGTGGGGTTTGTCCGTCGTTTTCGTTTGGTAAGTTCCAGATGTCGATTGCTTGAGAAGCGCCGTAAACCTGTCTCAACTAGGCGTGCTTGTACATATGTCTGAAGGCCATTAGTTAGTCGTAGATGATCCCCGGGGTTCAACGAGACATACCAATGGGATATAGGGCTTCCGGAGACGTGACTGGACGAACTGAACTACGAGCGCGTGGACGATTGCTGGCGGCTACGGGGGAGAGCTGAAGCGATCCGGGCCAGCGCCAACGGTTTGCACTGTCCAACACTGGCCTCCATGTTTTGAGCGCGTATTGTGGTCGGCTGTGGTAGCTGCTTCCGTTGAGGGCCGGGAGAGCCGTGCCGGCGCCTACGCTTTTCACCGTTCAACCCTGGTCGCTCATAAGATCCTTCTCAAATCTTGCCCCACCCGCCCTGTGTGAACGCTGTCTTTCAGGCGATTTCGACAATTGTGACCGCAACACTCAACGATGCCAGTGCACCTGTCGAGAGAGCGACCCTGTCGCCGCGCTCTGCGGTTTCGGGACAGGCTTCGATTGCCTCGACCCGGCCTCGGACTGCGGTGAGCAAGTTTCGAACTGCTTTCTGCCGTGTGCTATGGATGATATGATTTCCTGCAGAGTAGGCAGAGATTCAACCAGTCCCGCAGCTGCTATGCTGAAGTCCACGCGCTGCGGAACACCCCCCTCTACACGTGCTCCTCTCCCATTCCTTGTTCCCTGCCACCGGATGAAGTCTATGTCGGCCCTCAATTGCAATGTCTTCCAAGTTCGCTCGTGACACGTGTTTGAAGAGGTTGTTTGCCACAGGAGTCTCAGTTGCATTGAAACCGGCGTGAAGGACCGGTTTGGTGCGACCGCGTGCAGGTCCGATTTACCTGCAGCCTATGGCATATGCACCCCTCGAGAGTGAGCTCGTATAGCAGGACAATCCAGTATGATATCGAGATGGGGTCAATCAACTACGCACGGATAGGTATGCAGTTCGGGTTAACGCGACGGACATAATAATTGTTCACGAAGAATTTCTGCTGCCAATTCGGCTGGCACCGGGGACTCCAATGTGGATGTTTTGTCACAAGCAGGGGAAGGTGCTATTTGATCCCACTGGGGTGCATGCCAAGGCCACAGATTTCAATGATCGGTGCACTTCTGCGCAGCCCCTTATGTCCCGCCCATTTCGGTGTGCCACCTTGACACAAATCCCTGACGACCATTTCCCTTGCTGAGTTGCCTTAGATGCCCAAAAGACGAACTTGCACGCCATGCAAAGGACGCTGGGGGTTTGGTTCATGCGGTGAATGCAGACAATCACGAGTGAAGGCACAACTGTACGTGCACACCTAGGATACCAAGAATGTCGTCCATGAAACGAGGCAATCACTGTGATGAGTGCTAAAGGAACATTGGACTTGATTGTGTCAATGTCAGCTGCATTACCCTCACCGACCCCTCTTGAGCCCGAATGAACAAAGGCTCTGCACAGGAATGATACCAAGCCCTCATTCTAGGTTATACCGTAAGGGCCGACTGAGGGCAACGTGTGTCTCAGGACTACGTACCTACATCTACAAGCAGGTCGTTCATTTTCGTTCCTCGGAGATCCATGTTTTTCTAAGGCCATTTAATGCGAAAGCAGCCATGGATAATGTACTGGGTTAGCTCGTAATCATGATCATGACCCGGTCATGATCGACGAATGATCGGAAAAATTCAAACCGGGTCACGTTCACTTGTTCGTTGTCTTCCATTTCTGCGGAAATCGTCGGCCAGACAGTCGGATCATGACCCGGTAATGTTCTAGCCATGATGGTGTCATTGCCGAGTGGGGATCGTGTCATGACCGGGCCACGAGGAGTGGATCATGACCGGGACATGATGATGTCATCACCCTACTATCGTGGCGCCACTATGACCCGATGGTCTGTCTGGAGTTTTTTGCATCAACGCCAACCTACTGTAGCGGCTTCGCCGGCACACCCACATACTGTACGATATGTCACATGAGGACCGACCTCTGCAGAGCCAATGCCGGCACATCAACCTGGAACGTATCCACCCAGCTCCAACCTAGCACCAATTGAGTGAGTTTTAGCGTTGGGTTTCGGTTGGTGTTGGGTTCATAGCCGATTTGATGCCCGTTGCTAAATCAAAATCTGTTTCGGGGTGCCAGAATTTTATTGAATGTAAGCCGATTGGTTGCCGCCGTTGAAAGGATAGAACGGGGGGGGGGTAAGAGTCTAGGAACCTTTCAATGGTTTATTTCCTGCACGGGGTGGTGTCGGCCTGTCTAGGGCGTGAATGCATGGCTTATCTGAGCCAATTGTTTGGGTATAACCCTTACCAGGTTATCGCCGAGGTCATGACTCGGTCGCGGCCGGGTCCGTATCTCAGCGCGAATGGGTCATGGACGAGTAATGACTCCGTCAAGACCTGGATGATGCCTAGGTCATGATTTCTCTCGATCATGCCTAGGTCATGATTTGTCTCGATCATGATCAAGGTCATGACTTAATCTCGTGACCGAGCCATGACCCAGTCGCACCCGATTTTGAAGGTCATGGCCCAGTCATGCCCGGGTCATATCCCGGCCATGATCACGATGACGAGTACACCCAAAATGTTAGACACCCATAATTTGCCGTGAGAAATTCTGCCCGCTTGCACCATGCAATTTATTCCACGCCAGCCTCATGACTAGCAAAGACCCTAGGGAAGCGCCATTGGGCCTCACGGATGGCCGCAACAATCGTTCGCAGGCAGTGATATGACGTGGTATCACCTCCTGGGTTGTCACCCCTCGTGGTTATGACGCTCCCTGGTTGGCATTATCAAAATCCCTCGATGGCTCTCCTGCGGCCTGCAGGGCCTATCGGGTTGGCGTTCTCAAAACATCGTGGAAAAGGCACACCGTGAAAAAACTGAGCCTATGCTGCCTTTCTCTCCTCTTCCCCTATCATTGTGTGCTTGTTCCCACCCGTCACCTTCGTTCGGTCGCCGCTCGGCAGTCGAGGAGCCAACAGGTACGTACTTTGAACACGGTGGATGTCTTCAAAGGGCAACGAATTTCGAAACGATGCAGAACACGTGCATCTGACCTCGTTGAAAATATGTATCGGTTAATTTATCCTGGGTAGAACTTGTGTTGTTCGGCCAATTTTCAGCGAGCCTTCACTTGCGTTTAGTATCCATCTCAAGCATTGTCCAGTACCGAGCGCCTGAGACTAGTCTAGAGCAAGATGTCCTTGTGGTGGTCGGGGAAATAGGCCTCTAGGGTGTGCGACAATCGCAGGGTGTCTATGTGCAAAGTATGAGAGACTGTCGCTGATGTAGTGTTGAGACTCCACGAGGCCCTCGATCTCTTCTAGATGGAGTCTCTCCTGACAATACACCGGGCTCTGAATGTCATGGCTTTCCTCGCCTGTTTCCCCCGCTCCCCCTCGTGCACATTTTGGGCGCGTAGAGTGCGTGGACGATAGCGACTGCACCCTTCCCGAGGAATGCTGCCTATTGAAGCTGGTGTGCGAGGTACCCGACCCCACGGACCCTACGGCTTGCGGTGAGCTACAGAGTGCCAGAGAGGAATGTAGTCCGACGGAGGGGTTGATTTCTGCCTTGAGACATGTCGAACATCCGATGGTCTGATCGGGGTGAGCGATGGCGACGGTGTGAGAGGTTCTGTATGCTGCGTGACGAGTGCATCCGTCATACGACGCAAAACCGATATTGTGGGATTTCTTACCTCCTCGAATGTTGTGGCAGAGATGCCGGGCTCCTTTTTGAGAGATAATCAAGACAACAGTTGACTGCCTTGCTGCAGGGTCTACAGTGATTCGATTTGGTCCCGTGGCAGGGGTGGAGGCTACACTTACAAGAGTACACTTTGGGACATGCAAGACACCCACGGTCCTGAAATAGATTCTATTGCCAAACATGTATAGTTCTTGCTTACCTTGTTGCCGAAAATCGGTCGAAACCCCGAGAATTGCAGGTGACCCCCACATGACCGGCTTCCACGGCCAGAAGTTCGACTTCACGGGCAACGACGGTCAGTGGTACTGCCTTATCTCAGACCTGCCGTCCATGCACCTTAACATGCGTGTGACGGCGCCCGTCTCTTCCCGGCCGGACATCACGTACATCACCGGGCTCTCCCTCATCACCACCGATGACGATGGCCAAGAACACAGCATCATAATTTCCGTCAAGGATCCACACAGCCTGGATAGCGACTGCCCGCCCGGAGTGTCCCCCTGCCTTGCGGATGGCTCGTTGATCGTGGTGCTCGATGGAAACGAGACCCTGCTTGCCCCCGGTGCGATTGAGCTTGCTCCAGACGTTAAGGTCTCCGCTGTCAACATTCCCGGTGCCTGCCGATCGTTCGGGTTCGAAAAGTACTGGGAGCGGAAGAAGCTCGAGTACGCGCAGGCTGGCGGCCGCAGGCTGGACGTACAGCAGTCGATGGGGGAGTGGATACTTGGGGACCCAACCGCGACCAACATGGCGGAGTGCACAGAGTACGTGGCCCGTCACATAGCGGGGGGCGAGGACGGTGATTTGTTCACCCACCAATCCGAGCACGCGTCTTTCCAGATCGTCACACCTGCGGCCATTATCCGACTTAGCCACGGACGACTCCACCAGATCGCGGAGCTCGGCCTACCGGACCATTTGACTTGGCAGATGAATCTGGCTGTCGATCACAAAGACGTGAGCCTGACCGCCAAGGGGGTCCTCGGAGAGACGATGGTTCCCACCCGTACGGCTAGCGGGGAGTACATCATGCATGGCATGGAGGCCATTCGCGGAACCCAGGAAGATTGTGAGTACCCCTGCCTACGAATGGCACTGGCATGTATCCAGGGGATGTTCCTTGTAGAAAAACCATAACAGCGGTGATCGAACCGCGCCTTGATTAGGTTCGGTGTTTTGCGATAAAGCTGGTGCCAATTGAAATCCTATGCTCAATGCTAGGTTGAACAAATCGACACAATGCTGTTTGCTTATTCTTGCCGTGATTCGCCAGTCCTATTCTGCATGTGTCCGTATGCCAGGATGATTTCGCGATTGACAGCCGCGTCTACTAAACGTCATTTGGCCAAAATTGCCCAGCGTCAGTTCACAGTTTTTGCCGTGCGCCCCACTGCCAACACGCAGACCACGTTGAGGGACCCTTGGGCCTTAACTTCACTCTGAGCTAGAGTACCTGGAGCCCGCTTCGACGCCTTCATCTTCAGAGCAGAAATTCCCGTGTGCTCCAGGGTCCACACGTAAACAAAGTGGGGGGGCCCGGGGGTGACTTGAATCCCTGGTGGATTGCCGAGAGAGTCCACATGGACCACCTTCATGACAAGACCAGCATGTATTTCCTGCAGTTTCGCATCAACAGCAGGCATGCAGACCATCAAAATCGTCGTGTGACACCTTTGATTGTTCTCAAAAAGCTCATGTTGGATGGATGCAGAGCCCATCGGCGTGCATACAAGAACCAGTCAGATATTCTTTGCCAAGTTAGTTCTGCTCTCTAGTCTATGGCCACCAGTGGGTTAGTGGGTGGGATGTGCGACATCGGCACAGTCCCAACCGAAGGTATGTTTAACTCCTGAAATAGGAACAGGCTGTTTTTGCATTGGCCTTTCCCACGACCGTCTCATATTCTCCCTGTCGACTATTCAGGGTTGGTGGTAGGGTTGGTGCTCGACCGCGGTCAGAGATGGTTTAGTTGTAGCACTTGTCCAATGACTTGGTTCCTCTAAGATCGAGGTAAAACTTTCAGTTGTTGCCAGAGTCATGGGTTCTGTGTCCCCAAAGTAAACAGTTTGGACTTGGCCCAATCGTTCGCTGTTGACATCGGTGCCGTGAGGTACTGCAGAAACGCGGTTAGAACATCAGAGATCAGACTAGACAGCAATAAACTGTCATGGCCATAGATTTTTCATTTGATCTTTCTCGGGCTTGAGGGATGTAATACATACATGTACTGTAGTTGATGGGTGATAGGCTTCGACAATAAATAGGCTTTGCGTTGGGTTGACGAGGGATAAAACTCATGGCTGTCAACCACCATCATGTGGTTGTGGTAACAAAGTAGAGCGGAACTCAGGTGGAGCGCGCCCTTGCCTCGATTTCATTCAGTATCAGGAGCGAGGGGGCGTTTAATCAGCGCCGAAAGATTAAGATTAGTATTGCCGAAGGGTAACGGATTACCAAGCGAGGTAATTTGGCAACCTGGCAGGTATCTACAGATCGATGACTTTTCTCGAGAAGAGTAAGTGGGAAAATTTCATAGCGGGTGACCGTGGTTTTATATGACGGTAGTACGTAGCGAGAATCGCAAGTATTTTATATAAGTTGCCGACTGCGTTTTTAGAAGGCTCGTATTTGTGGCTACAGGGCACAGGAAGTGGGCGCGGGCAGTTTGACGTTGGTTCGGCGTTTCTTCGAATAGGGCCAGGACCATGTTTCTTATTTTTTTGCCCTAGTCTATGCTCTTCCTGTTGGATATTTCCATCGCATCGTACATGCGACAACTCTTGGTAAACAGCGATACGTACAATGTCGCTCTCACCTTCGTATCAAGACACGCAGTAGGGCAGGTGCGCTTTCTGTGTTTGATATACTGCTGAACAATCAGAGTAAATTTTTTAGGATCAGTTTGTTCGGTTATCCGATTATGTTTATGTAGTGCCTCCACCGGTGGAGCAATTAGCATTGCCGTTTAAGTTTTTATCATTCTCTACAAAAGTTTCCTTCTGGCAACATTGACATTGTTCTTGACATACTTCTGTGGGCTACTCCAGAAGTTAGCATTTGATTGGTCAGCCTTAAGTTGAGAACGTTTTGTATACGCACGAGACGACATCAGCCGGATCTTTGCCCAAGGGGTCATGTTGTCTGATTTGTCGACAACTTGGGATATATGTTCAAGCTTGTTTCCGTCGGTATGTTTTTGCTTGAATGGTGCAGCCCCCGCGCAGCCTCCGTCCTCTCACGTCGGTTTTCTTCCGGTCTCTCCGACAAAAACAATTACATTTCTTCAACATGTCTGCCCACCCGGGAAGTCTTCATCCTCGTGCAAGAGCCTGCCGGCACAACTTTCTCATGGAGGTCGATTACCACGAGCATTGTAAGCCGTGTAGCAACACACCACGTTCGGGCACGCTGTGCGCTGAGTTAGGCTTGTGACCGACTGCATCATCAGGTGCTTTGCCGTACATCGGACTTCACTCGCATTGGGTTTCCTACTACAGTTTTTTAAAATGATCCATGGGACACCCATGGGCGGACACCCGTGGGTCACCCGTGGGCCACCCATGGGCCGCCTATTGGCACGCCGTTGGGCCCATGGGCAACCCATGGGAAATCCATGGGCGGCCAATGACAACCCTTCAACCGAACCAGTGTACTCCTAAACAGAAGATTATCTGCTTCGGAACGGGCAGTATAGCGGCTTACAACCCTCACGCCAACCGCAACCCTAACCCCAAGCCCGTACGATACGTGCTAGGTTGGGACTGGTGGCAAATGTTCAACAGGTGATGTGAAGGTTGGCTAAGCTCTAGGTTGATATGCCGGTGGCGAAGTTCTAGGCTGAAGTGCCCACGATGGGCACTTCATGAGCCGCACTTGGGCCGCCCGTGGGCATGCCCATGGGTCACCCTTGGGTGGTTTAGCAAAACTGTCAGTGATGCGGGAAATTGCTCGCATTGGTCTATCTCTTGTCGTACGCATGAGCTGCAGACAAAATTGAACCATTTTTCAGAAACTTGACAAGCCCGTGCCAAACGTCATCTAGGGAAGCGGTTTTCGTCAGCTTCAAGCCTCACACCACACACACCCATTCCCGAGACTTACCCTCGGTGCTCAGTCAACAATTTTCGTGTTTGGTTTGTTTGCAGCCCGCAGTTTTGGGAAAGAGGTTGATGTTTATTACAATTTCAAATGATGAGGGCGACAGGTTAGGTTTCCGCGTACATCACGTGCGTCACAGCGACAGGGCGCCTTGCCTGTGTCTACCGAGGTCAGCTGCGCAACTGCTACTTATTATGCTGTGCGTGGTGTAGGTTTCATGCACTTCCTGCTATTTGGATGGCGTTTCACGCCGACGTGCCACGGACGTGCGGACGTAGTACCTGTTTTTAGTTATCATGGCTTGGTGGGTGGCAAGAGAGGACACTAGCTCTCAATTGGGAATATCCGGACGCAAAGCTGGTCCCACCCGCTGGGTCCTATGTTTACAGACATACATTCGGAACCCCCCCCCCCTCCCCCCCCCAACAATCTTAATAGTGGGACTTCGGTGTGGAAACAGTGCGAGTGTAACTCTCGATCAAATTCGTTCGTCTTTGGGGGCGGCGCAATCATCCTCTCAGCACCTGATGCTGCACACGTACCGCGCTTTTGCCTATAAAAAACGACAACATCCATGTGAGGGGACGACGATGTCAACTTGGCCAACTCAACCGCGACCCTCCCCCCAATTGGGGCCATTCAATTTCTCGAACACCGCAACACCGCACAATGGGGGCCCTATCACCGTATTTGATGCAGCTAACGGTGCGCTGCAGGGGCCGCCTGCCAAGGAGAAATTCCTCCCTATGCCAGCAAATGAGCAGGGCAGAGTACACCTCGAGACTCACGACCTGAAACGGACCCATTTTGCATGCGGGTATTGCTAGGCAGCAAGATACGCGCGATGGGGGCCGCAGCAGCCTCAACTCGCGTTCTCCAGATCGGCACCGGGCCGCTAGTAGGTGTCGGCGCGACGTCGTCAGTAGGACGTTTTCGTGAGCTCCCGCGGGTCTTCAAGCGACCAGCCTTGACAACGACAGCCAGGATGGCGGCGCCAACCACCAGTACGCCCGCCACAGCATCTCCAGCGATGCACCACCTCCCTCGATCGCGCCCATCGGAGTTGCAACAACGGAATGCAAATTGAAACGGCCAGATATAGGATACCACCTGACGAGCCACAACCTGAGCAATATGAAAAACTTGTGTACTAGAAAAAGGGTTTCGTGGTGTTCTTGGTGTTCATGCGCTCCGATGATGTGGACTTGGGTTTGGGAGGGCACTGGTGGATGAGGTCTAGGCGAGTCATTACGTTCCCAAATCAGGTCAGATTTCGTTCGAAACACTCGTCAGTCTCGAACGGCGACGGTACCCTCCCGGGTGGGATAAAGGGGCGAGACGTGCGTGTCCACTCTCTATCCTTCATTGTGTTCGGGGTCATCTCTTCAGCAGCACGACCCTTCACGGGTGTGTGTGTAATGTGCTTGTGTTTGCATCTCTGCGTAGCGGCTCTGTCAATGCCAACCACGCTGACCGAGCAACCTCCGGACCACCTCAGTCCAGATGGAAGCACAACCAACATTACCCTGCGAGTCGGTAGATTTCTCGTCTGAATTTTCTGCTTTCGTCTGATAGATCTGCGAATATATTGCCAGCCCCAACCGCGCTTTCTGTAGGTGTGTACACTGGTAGGTTTGGGTATTCCGACGGGACCGTGTTAGTGGGTATCGCAGACGGTTTGGGTTCATTGTTTTGATTCACGGGGCCCGGGTCGCTGGGAGTGCTTGTGTGAGCTCACTCTCTCTGCCGCCGCGTTGTCTCAGAGTCTCGATCCTGTCTGCTGTCCTCAATACATGAGATACACAACCATATCCGACACACACAAGGGTATGTACGAGCCCTCTAGAGTGTATCCCTCGAGGGAACCCGTGCTGGAGACGAGTGGCGCAGATGATGGAGCCAATTCCGCCGACGGTGTGCCAGATTGTGTGCCAGATGAGGTCAACGAGCTGGAGGAAACGGTCTCTAGCCTGCCAGGCCAAGTGTAGGAGCTGATGCACCTGCTGCGAGCCGCCATAGGAAAGGGAGAGAGAAAGAGGGGGAATCCGGGGGATCCACGGTGGGCGCTATCGTTACGGGTGCTACGTCTGCACGCGGTCTGCTGGAAGAGGGACAGTAAATTAAGGGAATCAGGCCGCCAGGACCATGGGAGAAGCACCAGACCGGGAGTCAGCCTGGTAGTGGCAAGGATCCCTGCTGGGGTGGGCCCGGATGCAGGACCGGGCAGCGGGAACGTCAGGGGGTATTCCCCCAAGAGCAGCCTGCTGCGGTGAGCGTTTGCATAGACTACACGGCAGCAGAAGAGGTCATCAGCAGTAGTCTGCTGTAGGCCGGTTGCGGAAGGCGATTCGTTGAGGGCGTTTCAGGCCCTGCAAAAGTTGGAATTGGTAGATCCGAGAACACCCGAATACCCCCACAAGATATGCAGCGCTGGGCCGGTAGAGGTGTAGCCGCCACTGGAGGCATTGGCCGAAGAGTTAGAGCAACATCACTTCGGGAGGAGCTGTGCGGTGCTGGGGGGGGTGTCGCAGATGGCACACCAAGTGCCCCTGTTGACCACGGAACAGTGCTTGCGGCTAGAGAGCTCCGGCAGCATGCATCCTTACGATGATGTTGATGCGCCATCGGAACGACCAGGAGAAGCAACAATCTTGGGAGGATGAGAGAAAGGACACGGTAGGGTTTTGCACGAGCGATGCACCCGCTTGATGCACCAACGACTTGCACTTTTCTCTTGACCACACCACCGACGCGAATGCGTGCGGGAGACCGCATAGCAGCTGGGGATTCAGGTGATCGGTACTAGAGGATGGCTGACAAGGCCGCCACTTCGTGCCATTCCTTTCTCACGTACTACAGAGATGTCAAGCAATCTACGGCAACCAACGGTGAGTTGGAGATTGCTCGGTTTGACAACGGTATCGAAATCACCAACCCCGACTTCATGCATGGGGTGGATGAGCTCGGGGTTGCGGTCGACTTCCCTCCCGTCGATGGTGCAAAGCGTAACGGTCGCCTGGAGTGGAAGATCGCGCTTGCCCCTGAAGGAGCTAAGGCGGCGTGGTTGGAGTACCCGCGGCATTTCCCGGATTTGAAGTTCCCCGGAGGGTCATGGAGTGGACGACGACCTGGCCGCAGGCGGTTTCTTGGATGAACGACTCGTTCAAAATGACGGCGGAGGCTCACATGCCTGGCAAGCTCTGCCCGGGAGAGAAGCTCTACAAGCGACGTGCCACGACTCTCCCATTCCCCTTCATGATCCCGGGCTTTCGACACCGAAACCAAAAGGCCAAGGCCGGGTCAAGGGGGAGAGATGCTTATTCTTCAACACCGCCAACAACCTCTCGTACACTACCCACAACGTCTCCTCCTCAGGGGTCTGCAGCTATTCACTTCGGGCTATCGTCGGGAGCCCTTCGTGGGAGAGGTGCCAGGGAGGCAGTGATGGATACGACGGAACCTTCCAGAACGCTGGTGGTACCGGCTGGCGCGGCAGCATCGGCAGCGGCACCGGCGGAGAGAGCGGGGGCCACGGGTGGGACGCAGGAATCGGTGCACTGAGCGGCAGCATCGGTAGTGGGGGCGGTGACGACACAGCGGTTCCCGTGACGGCGGTGACTGAGGTGGACAGGGGCTTCCGCGCGCCTTGAGCCAGCTCTGCAGACGGTGGTACAGCGGTGGTACGAGGTGACGCCTGCACGCGGTCGAGGTCGCGTTGAACTGGGGAGATTACTGCAACTCCATATGCGGTGTAGCGTGCTGAGAAGCACAATGACCACTGGACCACCAGTCAGTGCGGACTGATATTCGTTTTTTACAGAGCGGGTTGCTGCCTTGGTCGTTGTCGTCAGTGTAGATGACAGATTTCCCACTTGGTTGAAGAATCGGTTTGAGCAGTTTGGTAGGGACTTGCAAGAGACGTTCCCATCACAAATCTTGAGAGACTTCAATATTGCTTACAGGGACGCCACTCTTTGTCAACAGACCTACATATGCCGCAAAACATTCTCGCCAAGTTTGGTGTCGCCTCTAACGAAGAAATCCATGGCCGTTGGTGTGAATCTTAACGGAGAGTTTGATCCATGTGGACCAGACGTTGAAAAGTCGTATCGTTCGTTGGTGGGGCACTTGATGTGGCTTGTGAATCTAACTCGCCCGGATGTCGTAACATTGTCATGAGTACAAGGGCGCTTCGCGGCGTACCGCTCCGCGGTCGCGCTCGTACAGGTTGAATGGCGATCGCAAGTGTGTGCGGGTAGTTTGAAATGAGAGATATGAAGGAGAATGCTGCGAAGAGGAAGAAATTTGTTTGTTTTTCGAAGAGCAGAGACGCACAATGACTGTATTCATATGTCATGCGACGGCCGGAGGACCGAGTGTTTCACTACTCGGAGTAGGTTTGTTTTGCAGAAACAAAGGCTCACTTTTTAAGTAGAAAAATAGGGTTACGTAACATAATAGCTCAACATGAGCCACACCACCATACAAGAAACGTTTAAAAAAAATAAAGAGGAGCAACCCCTAACTAACATGCTCTACCATTCGTAAGACACGAGAGGGGTTACGGGGGGGAGTGTTGAGGAGTGCGGCTGCTAGCATGAATAGGGTACATCTTATTCTTGATAGGATGCGGGTCGGTCAGNACCCTCCTCGTACATAAATCGGCGACGTCGCCGGTTGGGCGCTCTGGCGGCAGGACCACTCGTCTGCCGGATACTGGCGTGCCCCGTGTCCACGTGCCAATGCTGATGCGTCCGTGGGTCTTTCATGCATGCCATACGGCCCNTAGGAGCAAGCCACCGCCCACTGCATCACTCCTTGAAACTTGGCGTCAGCGGCAGGATCACTCGTTTGCCGGATACTGGCGTGCCCCGTGTCCACGTGCCAATGCTGATGCGTCCGTGGGTCTTTCATGCATGCCATACGGCCCCGTCATTCCATCTCGGCGTCCATCGTACACAGCGTCTGCTCGAGCGCTTCTACTGGTGGATTGGTTTGGATCGTTCCGTGCGCTGGTGGCTTCGGGTGTGTTTGGTGTGTCAAGCTCGCAAGACTTCACGTCAGACCGCTCGGTGGCCCGTCATCGCTATGCCATTGCCGCAGGGGCCTGGTACGGTCGTCGGCGTCGACTTCTTCGGACCTCTGCCAGTGACTGCCAAGGGCAACTCCTACATTTTGTTCTTCACAGACCGTTTCAGTCGGAGAGCCGACATGTTCGCAGTTACAGCGGCGGAATTTACGGCGAGAGGGACGGCTCACATCTTCGTCAACCAATACATGACCAAGTGGGGATGTCCGACTACGTTATTGTCGGACAACGGACTGCATTTCTGCTCGAAGCTCTCCATGGCGATCTACGAGGTGATGAAGATCAAGAAGGTCACCACCAGCTCCTACCACCCACAGACCAACGGCGGCACTGAACGCGTCAACCACACGATGGCCCAGATGCTTGCGGTGGTCGTCAACGAGCAGCAAAACGATTGGGATACATCTCCCGCACGTTGAGTTTGCCTACAACAATTCCGTTAACCAGTCTACTGGATTAGCGCCAAACGAGATCCACATCGGACGCATCCCGCGACTCCCGCT